ACGTGTAGACGGCCACAGGATGTAGGGCCTGAGCACACCTGCCCACATGTGTGTGCTCTGCCACCCATTCATCCCGAGTGTCACCAGAAAAAGGTAGAAGCAGCAGGGGTGAGCAGGCAGCCTCCATCTGCCTGGAACACATCGGGCAAAAAGGGCTCAAGACTGGGCCTCTGGCCCACCCCTCCCCACACAGAAGCACGTTGTTACATTGTCATCCCAAAGCTGTGGCACAGAACCTGGGAATGGAGCACTTCTGGGCAAGCTGGCCTCTGCCTGATCCCCTCCCTGCCCACTGGTTCTTACCCACGCAGGCCTCCAGATGCAGCTGCGGTAGCGCTCAGGGCCGTGGAGAGCTGGGACCGTGGAGAGCTTGGCAGCCCATCCTCCCCTCCCACCCCCCACTGGTCCCATCCCCTTGCTGAAGTTGCAGTGGACTTCTTTGCTACCAACCCAACAGAAATAGAATTCAAGCCATAAACGCAAATGACATGCGTAATGTTTAATTTTCTAGTAGCCCCATTTCTTTAAAAGTTAAAAAGTAGATAAAAATAATTTTAACAGTATTTTTTATTTAACTCAGCATAACCAAAATATTATCATTTCAGCATGTAATCAGAATAAAATATTTATGAGATAGTTTGCATTCTTTTTTACATTCTCAGTCTTCAGAATCTGGTGTGTATTTTTGAGCCAGCCACGTTTCAAATGCTCAATAGCCACGTGTGGCTAGTGGCAACCGTATTAGATGGTGCAGATCTAGAATATACAGGAAAGTCTATATATAATTGCAGTTATCATAATGCCATTAATTCTAACATTGACTGTTAACATTTTATTATATTCTCATCTAGTCCTTTCTAAGTATATTATTGTTGCAAAGCTGAAGTCACGTTGCTTATATAACTAACTTTCTATGCTCCACTTGCTGTATTGTTCATCTTCCCACATCATCAAAATTCATTCACAAACGCCATCTCTAATTCTGATACCGCAGACTGTCCCATCACTTGGGTGTCATAATCTTTTTAACCAATGCCAAAATGCTGGACAGCTGCATTTTTTCCAATAATGTAAGTAACGCTGAGATGACTAATTTGGTATTACTTGTGCTCTGAAGGCCTCGATGTGAATCTCTGTAGCATTCTAGCCATTTTTAAGAAACTACTTTTGAATATCATCACTCAGTCAAACAACCAACAACAAGTGATTTCCGACTGGGAGCCGAAACTCCTCAGCTTCTCGGCGGGCAGTTGTGACGCCTGGCTCTGCAACTTAGAGCAGGCCACTTTGCTCTCCGTGCCGGAGTCGCTCCATTTATAAAGTAAACTGATGGTATTAGGTGATTTTTAAGGATCTTTCCAGCTCTAACCTTCAGTGATATTTTTCCCTACCCCACAAATCTAATCAATTAACCTGTCAAGCCAGTCATTATGTCATTAAAAGCGAGTCACAGGCCGGGCGCGATGGCTCACGCCTGTAATCCTAGCACTCTGGGAGGCCGAGGCGGGTGGATCGCTCAAGGTCAGGAGTTTGAGACCAGCCTGAGCAAGAGCGAGACCCCGTCTCTACTAAAAATAGAAAAAAATGATCTGGACAACTAAAAATATATATATATAGAAAAAATTAGCCGGGCATGGTGGCGCATGCCTGTAGTCCCAGCTACTCAGGAGGCTGAGGCAGAAGGATCACTTGAGCCCAGGAGTTTGAGATTGCTGTGAGCTAGGCTGACGCCATGGCACTCACTCTAGCCCAGGCAACAGAGCCAGACTCTGTCTCAAAAAAAAAAAAAAAAAAAAAAAGCGAGTCATGTTAAAGCCACCACCTACCTAAACATTTTAAAATCCATGCTCACTCACAGTGCCTTTGTACAGGCCACCGTCATCGCTCATCTAAATTGGGATCGGGGTACCCAGTGCTGAGAGAGAATAGGTTCTAAATTTAATAAATAGGATTAAATGAAAGAGGTGTGAAAGCATCGCATGGGGCTGGCGCAGAGGAAGTAGTCAATGAATATCTGCTGCAGAGACTCACCTGGATCCAGTTCCCTAAAAGTTGCAGAGTTCACAGCGAAACGTTGCAATTGCAAATGCTCCCGCTGCACCCCTGCCCCAGACACTGGATGCTTCGGAAAGACAAAGACTTGGCAGCTTCCCCTAAAGAGCTGACAGTCTAGAGGTGGAGGCAGGAACCCCTGTACACAAAACAAGCATGCCTCAGGCAGTGTCTTCAATGGAAAAACCAGATGGAGAACAGAACAATTATCCGAGCAAATCAGGCAAGCCTGCTGTTGAGGAAAAGGCTTAACAAAATTTGTCCTATTTCCTTTGTGAACCTACGGGTTAGGGCAGCCTGGGAAAGCAAAGTATTTTGGCTCCGGAAAGACTGGTCTGTGCTCTGTGATCTTAGGCAAACCATGAGGCCTATTTCTGATCTCAGTATCCTCACCAGTAAAATGGAGATAGAATAATACCAACCTTGCCCAAACCTAACTACCCACTGGACTGAATTCTGTCAAACACAAAGATTATGTAGGGGGAAACAGTTATGAAATGGGGTGATCTAATAGCTAACATAGACAACTGATGACCTGTCTCCTAAGAATCCACGCCTCTTAAAGGAAATGTTTGGTGATCATGAGTACTGTTTGTATTGAACTTTATAGTTTATAAGGCAATTTTATGTGCATTTATTTTATTTTATTTTCAAAACCCTGTGTAGCAGGTATTGCATTTGCTTCTTAAGGATACTGACATCGAGAGAGCTTAAACAACTCCTTCGAGTTCACACTGTGAAGGCTACACGTAGGCTCTCTAACTCCTTGCTTCTCACACTTTCTCCTGCACTGTGCTGCCTTCCCATTAACATCCTTTTCACCAAAGCCTTAATACTATTAGCATAAATATTAATGACGTGTGTTATGTGTGTTTCCCTTTGATCAAGGACACCGAAACATTGAAAGAGAAGCTCTGAAACAAAATGCCGGACATGCAAGAAGAGCAAGTTTACTTTCTCACATTGAGGGACAGTAGCTGTCCCCCTCTGATTTACATTTCATGCCATGCAGCGGGAAATATTTAAGTTGACAAATTAGGATGTTTACAACTGCAACAGATACTTGGCAGTTAGTTTTTTAAGAATTGTTGCAAATGTGATTTATTTGCTATTATAAAAGAGCATTACTGTGCGAATATGACTCCTGAAATTAGCTTCAGTTTAGCAAGGGGCCTTGACAGTGTGACCTCTTAATATCCTTATAATGATGCCATTTACATTCAATGCTTACTCAAGTCACTCACTGCTAGTTCTGTTTGAGAAGAGTCCACTCTAGAGCAGATGTATTATGTATTTTAACACACAGAGTTGGTGAGCGGGGCACATGGAGGCCTTCTAAGAGGAAAAACTGTTTAATCAAGTCTTCATGAAAATGTGTTAGTTTCCAACTTCCTACAGTGAAAATGCATTACTGCTAATTGCAGCATACTCCATAAATACAATACTTCATGTTTTCTCCACAAGACATTTCCATGGCATGGATTATAATAAACAAGAACGTGTTCTGGTCCTCCACACTTTAGCTTCTAATTTGACTGGAGAATTGGTACAGGGTAAGGGTTGGCTGGGTGAGGATTACTGCCATCTCCTCCCGCAGGGAGTGGGAAGAGCCAGGCAGAATTGGATTCAAATCCCAGCACCACTACTTCCTAGCTCTGTGGACTTGGGTACCTCCCTGAACCTCTGTTTCTTCATCTGTGACACAGAACTGTTATTTTTTAGGTTGCTATAAAGATCTGAGATGTTTGTGAAGCACTTGGCACACTATAGGTACTTGGTACATGGGAGCCTAGTGTTTTTATCACTTGTTTGAAGCTCAAATGTCACGTCCATGATGCAGCCCTGACTTCACTAGGCAAACCCAGTCTGTCCTTTCTTTCTGCTTCAGTGGTACCTTGTTCATACTCATATCACATGTCACATTGTATTGTTTAATTGAATATGTATGTACCTGGTCTTCACTTCCTTGATGGCAGGACTTGTACCTATTTACTTTTGACTCTCCAGTTACTAAAACAATGATATTTGTTGAATATCGGACTGAGAGGGACTCTGGGAGTGCTTCTGGATTCAGCCTAGGGATAGGGGATGACAAGGGCAATTAAGGTTGATCTGCCATAAGAGAGGGAAGAAGCAGCACATGACTTACTTTGTCATTGCCAGTTTGGCACATAGTAGATGCTCAGTAAATATTTGTCAAAGGAATTAATGGACATAACTCAGTTATCTAGTAGTTGACATTAACTAATAACTACCATGTCTATTTTTCAAAGCATTTTAATTTTAATTGGATCATAGTATTCTTCCAATAATCCTGTGATACAGCTAGGATAAGATGTTATTACCTGTTGGCAATTGAGAATACTGTGACATTGTGAGGTAGTAAAATAAGAATATCCTGCACTTTCATGATAAAATCGTGGTAGAGCTAAGACTGACGGGCCAGCCCTAAGTTTCCCTTAAGGTTCGTATTAACATTCACAGAGAGGCTGTCACTGATTTCTCTAAAATCGCAGCAAGCTGCCCCTTCCTCATATTTACTCATGTTTTTCCTCTTTCTGTTCCACTTGAGTTCCCCACCCTCTGAAGCTTCTGTCTGGGCTCATTTTCTCAGTAGAAAACCTTGCACCACCTACCTTAGAAATGTCGGGCTCTGGGCAGAAAAACCAAAGTCAACATGAACTTTTGGAGACTTGGCATCTCCATTAGATTGTCTTGGCCAGGTATTTCTGTAACCTCCCACAAGAACCTTGAATCTTCCAGCTAGAATAAGACTCCACCCCTCCGTTGACTGACGTAGAAAGAGAAGGAAAAGCTTCTACTCCGTTAAGCCACACGGTCACTGTTTTGTTTGGTCTGATGCGGTTCGGTCCGGTTCGGGGGAGCTAGGGGAGGTCTCTACTGTTTGCTGGTCTCACTCTCACTTTTTCGGTTCCTGTTTTAATCAGGTGTGGGCAACGGGCCTTAACCTCGCCTATAGTGACCAGCTGGCCCTGACTCAACTCATCTTATACCTCACAAACGGCCATCTGGACTGCAGTTTGGGCACCCTCGAAGTGCCCCGCTTTGTTCCAAGGAAAGGGAAGAAAACGAACCCCGTTAAGTGTCTCTCAGTGCCGGTAAGCAACAGATGCTTCCCGATTGTTCTCAGCGTTCGGCCCAGTCAGCTGCCGCTTACGGGGCTCTGTCTATGTGCCAGGCTCTTTGAATAGAGGAGAAGAAAGAGCTTCAGGCGAGTCACTGGACCTCTCCGAAATGGGCTCCCGGAATGTGCATGCGTTGGTCAGAGGAAAGGGGGCAGGGCATTCCAAAGGGAGAAAGCGTGCAGACGTGTGACCGAGCGCCGGGTTCTCTTCTGTTCCCCTGGGCACGTGCGCGTCTGTGCCACTGCCTCCCTTACCAGAACTTCTCTGCTTGCAGTCCTCGGGAGCCAGCTGTCCAACTGCATCCGTCGTCTTTCTTCTTCCTGTCCTTCCTCTTGGTGGATCAGGCCAGAGGCTGCTAAGATACCCCCAGCCCCACGTCTATGCAGCAACTAAGCCACGTTGAGTCCGCCTGCTAAAGCACCTCAACCTGACCCCTCCTCCCCCTCCACAAAGACCCCCCTTCGTTCCGGCTCTCACCCCCTGACAGTAGGGTTCGGATACTCTTCACCCAGCCCCTGCCTCCTGCCTCTCCCCTCAGCCTGAACACACTGAGGTCAGGGCGGCAAGGGCAGAAGCGGGTCTGAGTGTGTGGCTCCCCTACCTATGATTTTAAAAAGACTCCCGCAACCTTCAGGAAAACCCCACTTCCTGCTTGCTTGTGAGCCCCCCACCATCTGCCCCTTCCGCTGCCGCAGCCCCCCTTCTCCTCACCGGCCCCATGGGGGTGGCTGGGGCCGGGAGAGAGGTTTGCCAACCTCCGCACCCTCTGTGGGGACAGCGGTGCTTGGTCCAGTGGGCTAAGTTGGTCCTGGGGCGAGAGAGCAAAGGTCAGGAGGACCAGATGGCCCTTAGCGTAAGAGTGTTTGGGGACTTTCTGGCCACACTGCTCCGACAGCTGCCAGAGGGTTTCTTTTACTTTCTGCTACAACAGTGGGCTTCACACTCTTTTTGCAAATGAAGCTCTACTTGAAATCCAAATATGTCACATAGTTGAAAGAGGAACTCCAGTGGCTCATAGGACCCCACACTGGTGTCCCAGAGATACCTTTTCAGAGCAGTGTCTCCTGCCTCTCTGCTGAACCCCTTTAGGTCCAGGAGATGCCTCTGGATTTAAAGGACCTTTGTTTGACTCTGCCCAGGGTCTCCACGGTCACCTCAGGGCAAGGGTCCCCGATGTCTCGGGGGGCTCCTCCTTCCCCTCCTTCTCATCCACTTGTCCAGTGAGGTACTAGCAAGGACCTTGCTCACAGGCATCCTCTTGATCTTGTAGCTTATTAAGAACAGAAGCAGAGTTGGACTGGAGAGAACAGACCTCTTTTAATTAGGCCCCAGGACTTTGCCGACAATCTCCCAGGTCTGACCCCACCTACGGCCTCCGTCCTCACCTAAGAGACCTGCGGGACCCTAAGTTCAAAGTTAGAAGGAGAGACAGCAGTCAGACTTGGGCCCTTCTGGCTAGTGAGCCTCACTCCATGCCGTTTCTAAAGGAGGCTGGAAGCTGAGATGGTATTCAACACAAGACTTCCAAAGACAATTTGCTGCATTTAAGTATGTTGTTTCCAAAGGCTGTAAGCAGAAGTTATTCTTTGAATTAGAAGCACTCTCCCATTTTCCCATGTTGCTATAGATTTCATTCCTAGCTACAGGCTAGACATATGGGAGTTCTCCTGTGATCAAGAGTCTTAAACACTTTTAGGAGCTGCACACACACAAAAGGGAGGCGTTATGATCTTCAATAAGGCAAATGCCTCTTCCATCACTGGAGAGAGGCTATGCAGGTTTTCTGACGTGGGGATAAACTGAAACTGCTTTTACTTTTAGAAAGATATGCATGGCTGTGTCGCCCTGGTGCCCATGTGCCGTGTGTGCACACACTCCCATGCACGTGTACATGCACGGTAGCCTATTTTTTTTAAAAGAAGCACGTACACAGGCACACACACAGGACAACTCCTAAGCAAACTGAAGGATCTTGAACAAGTGTGAACAGATTGTTAAGCCGTCGGGTTTACGATCAGTCAGTTGACAGCCCCCTTTGAAGACTAAAGAAAAAGGAAACACACAGAAGCACAGTAAGAACGAGAGTGCATCAGCACTAATACCTATGAAATGCTTCCAGTTTGGGCCTGTTCCTTTAATAACAGGCTATATAAGGGGAAAGCAAAGTCTTTTCTGGACTCTCAGAGGAGCTGTTGTCCATATCAGGAACAGGTGGCCGAATTGTCACTTAGAGCCATTTAGACCAGGTCACTGGGCTTCTGATCCAATGATGTCGCTAAATAACCACTTAAAGGTATAAACAAGGTCTGAAAAATCCCAGATGTGCATGTTTTAGAAATGAAAAGGAATCACCTAACAATTTTTTAGCTTGTAATTAACACTCTGTCAGAATTGGCATAAATCGTTCCCTTTTCCATCGGTTTTCACTCTTCGTCTTTCTTTCGGGACCCTCCGCACCATGGCTGGTGAGTGGCCGAAAGGGGACATCTTTGCAGACCTCTTAAAACAGCCCACGTCATTTATTCGCATTTTAACAGAACATGATCTGTAATGAATGATTAAGTAAAACCTTTTGTGTTAAATTATGATGTTAATAATGATTCTGTCTCCTGTAATTTATTATAAATTCTCAATGCTTCGGGTTTGATTTTGATAGAATACAGCAACAACAGAGTTTATGTGATGACTTTATTTTTAGAACTCCTTCTTTGAAGGCGCAGATTTCCCTGCGACTGCTGCTACTGTAATTATGTACAAAACCAATCACTCATTAGAGTTAGGATACATTATCTTCTAGACAGATGAGGCTAAATAAGCAACGCATTAATAATTCAGAGAGCAGTTCATTATGCATGTGGATGCCTGCTTCGTAACTGAAATAAGAACCTCATCAGCCTCTGCCAACCCTTAAACAATAGTTCTGTGTTATTGCAGCCACATTCGAGTTTACGCTTGTTAAACTGCTACTTGGATTATTTTATCAAACATTCATTTATTTGTGGTCCCTTACTGCCGAGGACAGATTTTGGAAGCTCCTTTTTTAAGTTAATGATTTGAACAATGGGTGTTATTAATTCTCAGAATATTATAAACATGATTAATTTTCAGGCAGAGATTTATTACATAAGGATTTCGACTATGTCAACTGAAATGCATCACTGTCAAAACAAGTATCATGGAGAAAATAGAATATGCTCCACACTTCAAGTGCTGGTGCTCAGAACTAAATCAATTTAAATTGTGGCTGAAATAAAATTATATTCTCCAGTGAAAAGGAGTATTTCGAGCTTCCTTTATTTGGCTCGAAGCATTCTTGTTAGATCGTGATTTAGAAAGGTAGTTTAATAAGAGTAGACTTCCACCAATAATCTTTTGTCTTTTATTTTTTCTCCTGTTTTACTAGAAAAGGCTAACCTCTGAAACTCCCACACATTCCAAATGTGGCCAGTGGAAATTGGTAGTGAAGAGCACTGGTCTGGGACATCAAGAGAGATCCTGAATTCTGATCTCTCTAGTGCCATTGTCCTCATTTGTAAAGTAAGGGAGGGCGAAATGATCCCCACGGTCTCTTGAGGGACTTAATCTTATGGGGCCTGTAGGAAGGGGCTCTGTACCAAGGCTGGCCCGGGCAGCCTCATGTGTTATGGAGGGCTGAAGGAAGGGACATCTCCCATGAGGGGACACGGGAAGGCCCATCCCTCTATACTGCAGCCTTCCCTTAAAAAGTCTTTTTCTTGCAGAATCTTTTAGAAAGAGGTAATATTGTTGTAAGAGGTCCTTACCAACCATTACCTAAAAATTAAAGAGAATGAGCCTGGGCACGGTGGCTCACACCTGTAATCCTAGCACTCTGGGAGGCTGAGGCAGGAGGATCACTTGAGCCCAGGAGTCTGAGGTTGCTGTGACCTATGATGATGCCACTGCCCTCTAGCCAGGGCAACGAAACAAGACTCTGCCTCAAAACAAACAAACAAACAAACAAAAAAGGCTGAGTATCAAAGAGCTCCAAGTTTATCAAAGTACACAGAGAGGGGAGCAAATAACCGTAGTGCATGTATTAATATGATAATAGCATCCAAAATGTATGGAGCCTTTACTCCACCCCAGGTACTTTGGTAAGTGCTTTACATGAATCTTTTTACAGTCCAATATCTTAGGCATGCGCATTATTATGTTCATTTTTAGAGAAGAAGACTGAGGGTAAGAGATGCTAAGCAACTTGTTACAGGTCACTAGGCAAGCAAGTGGTGCTGCCAGGATTTAACCTCCGCCGGTGTGTTTAATCACTGGGCTATCCAGCCTGCCTTTCAGTGGCTGAGAGTCGATGATCCGGCCCCAGAGTGGAGCTGAAGCTCATTCGTGAAGAAGTCTCTTGCTGAGGCCACAGAAAAAACCATTTTTCCAAGGGGGAATCATTTCCCCTGTGATGAGGTTGTTTCCAGGTATATTGCTGTTATCCGTTGGCTTCTCATCCGCTCTCAGCTTGGCCGAGACTCAGTAGCACTGAATGGGCAGGATGGTCATGGAGGAGTCGTGGATTTTAAAGAAGAAATACAAGCAGATATGGTACAGGTTTCCTAGATGGTACAGATTTTCAAATAAATAACAAAGAGTATGGAAAATATCATGTCACTTATACCATGAACCATATAGAAAAGCTTGACTATGTTTCTTTAAAAGTAAGCAGTTTACACACTAAAAATATGCACGAAATATATATTTGCAAACCTTGGCTTCAAAACCAAGTTTAATGGGGTTCTTATTTAATTTTTCGAAGTACATACTGTACTCACATGGTTCAAAAGGCAGAAAGTGGAACCAGTCATACATTGGCAAGTGTCCTTCCCACTGCCCAGTTCCCGCCTCATCCCACAAAGTGACCACCGTTCTCGGTGTCTGTTTATCCCCTCGGAGGATCATTTTGCATATACAAGTAAATACACATCCAGATGATTCTTTTCCCCTTTTCATACCCAAAATGTAGCCTATAATACACACCATTCAGAATCTCACTCTTTTCTTTGGACAGCTTTCTGTAACAGTTCATTAAGAACGTTCTCATTTCTTTTTTATAGCAACATATCATTCCATTGCATAAATGTGCCATAATTTATTTATCCTTTCCTATATTGGTAGATTTTTGGATTGTTTCCAGTTTTTTCATATAACAAACAGTGCTATAGTGAATAACTTTGTGTAGACATCATATTGTACCTTTCAGGAATATCTTAGAATACATTCCAAAAGGAGGAATTGTTGGATTGAAGAACATAGGCATTTTTAATTTCAATAGATATTTCCAAATTGTGACTTCATTTTTGATCTTTCACAAACTTAAATAAATTGTACATCAGAAGAGAGTAGATTACACAAATCAACCTTTTAATAATGATATTTTTATTTGTATAATGCTTTATACTTTAAATATACATGACCTTATTTGATCCTCACGATAACCCCAAGAAATAGACAAGAATTATTATGCCCATTTTACAGAATAGGAAACTGAGGCTAAACAAAGTAAGTGAGCTGCCCAAGTCACAAAGTTAGTAAGTAGCAAAGGCCAGGTCTTCTCATTCATTCAGGTCACTTTCTGATGAAAAGGCTTATTGGTTGATCGGTCAGTTTTTATTGTAAATAATTGACAGTATTTGTGAAATTATTTAGTTTAATATGTGGTAGTAATTGCTAAGATTTTTCGAGTGCTTACTATGTGCCAGACACTGTTCCAAGGTCTTTATACACTCATCTAATCCTCACTACAATACTCCCATGCTGTCACCCGTGCTATCAGGATGGATATAAGACAACACACCATGATCAACAGTTTTTACCTGTAGAAATTGTGGAATTGGTTAAGTCTTTTTAAAAGTAGGTGTATCTTGTATGTTCATCATTAGCATTGCTATAACACATTTATTTAGCACTTAATACGTGCCAAGAATTTCACCAAGCATCAGGGGTACAAAGACATTTAACAAGGTTCCTTTCCTCAAGGAGTTGAAAAACAGAGAGAGGTTGGTATTGAAATAGCACAAACACAGGGGAAAACCACAAGGCCTCATTTAAGTGCCATTTGAGTGACAGACCCTTGACCTGCTGCTGGAGTTCTTTGGAGAAATGACTGTAGACTGGCAGGGACAGGGGACGCTTTGCTAAGAATATAGAACTTGGTCCTGCCTTAAGGTCTAGCGCAGTCACCAAGCGGCAAGGATTGGGGGACCTCCCTCAGCAAATGGGACAGAGGCTAAAGAGAGCCCGCGGTCTGTCAGGAGAAGGCAGTGAACCAGTCGGGCAGAAGCAGAGAATCTGGGAAGAGGGGAGCAGGAGAAGGGGTGGGAGTGGTGCACTGAGCAGGTTCGGAGGGTCTGCCCACCATGCTGGGGTCTGGATTTCATCCCGAAGGCAAGAAGAAGACACTGAAGATCTCCGAGAAGGAGAATGACATTGACCCACCCGGGTTTGGGAAAAGCAATCAATCTGGCGGTACTGCTCAGAATCCCAGGAGACAGGGACATCAGCGGGGGAAGGAACAGCCTGGGAAATGGCATTTACTGTAGGCCCAAATCCCTTTCAAAAGTACAGCCATGAAAATAGAATAGCAACAAAAATAGTAGGTACTATTTATCAGGCACTGTACTAGGTGCTTATTTAATCATCAGAAGTCAGAGAAGGGCTGCACGCAGTGACTCACGCCTGTAATCCCAGCACTTTGCAAGACTGAGTCAGGAGGATTGCTTGAGGCCAGGAGTTCAAAACCAGCCTGGGCAACATAGTGAGACCCCATCACTACCAAAAAACCCCAAAAAGTCAGAACAGTTAAATGATATACATAAGATCACACGTATAGTAAGTGGCCTTGTCAGGTTTTGAACCTCAGTCTTTCTGACTCCATACAACGTCTCCACTGTAGGGTCCTGCTTGCAGTCTACGGCCATACCACCCTGAACACACCTGATCTCATCCGATCTTGGAAGCTAAGCAGGGTCGAGGCTGGTTAGTACTTGGATGGGAGAATCTTGCTTGCATCCTCACCTCCTGCTCTCCAGGCAATAAAGGTCTAGACTAGTACGGTTATGGAAAAGCAGAGGCAGCTGGGAGACATGAACCAAATATCCTGGTTCTTCTTTCAGATTCCGTATGAGTCACCATCCAGGTCCGGGGGGAGGGGGAATTTCAGTCTGCATCCACAGAGAGGAGGAAACCTCAGGGTGGCCTGTCCTTACTTGTCCCGTAATCATGTACCACGGGCAGTGGGCCCTTCTGCTGTGCTTTGGAGCCAAGACACAGCGTTGAGCTGATCCTGCTACCAGATGCCTGCCTGCCTGCCTCTCTCGCCGACCCGGGCCTGATCTTGGTTTTGCTTGTTAATATCCTATGGCAGCATAAGACAAGTTTGGAAGACAAAATAACCTTGGAATTATCTTGTGAATTCATGGCAATTACCGTGCAATTACATGCTCAATAACCACAATGGAATTCCAGAGTATTTACAGTTGACTTCCATGTGCAAAAGCTCAAGCTTCTGGGCCTTCATCGCAAAGGCAGGAGCGTGGCCAGCCTGGCATGGCAGGGCGAGCAGGCCTGGTGGCCGTGCCCTTCCAGACCCACTAACCAGCTGAGCTAGAGCTTCTCTTAGCCAGTTCTTGTCACCCCACCGATTATTCCTGCTTGGTTCCCCAGGGCCACACTGTCCTCCAAGGGCCAAGGTCCAGGGTGACTGCCCTCAGTTGTCCTTCTCTAGGGCTGATAGGACTGTCCTCTGTGCCTTGTAAATCACCTGCTCGTGCCCCTAAGCATTTATCAACCGGCAGTCTCTTGAATGACATTCTTTGAAGAGTTTCTTAAGTCAGAAGAAGTGCTGTCCGCCTAATCTGCATCACATGTTCATTGTTTTACCCATTCGGTAAGCTCTGAGCGCCTGCTTCGTGCTAGCGTCATGCCCAGCCTAGAGATTCAGAAACCAAACAGTGCCTGCCCCCAGGAAACTCCCAGGGATGGATGGGACACGGCCAGGGAAACAACCTATGACAGGTCAGGGTGATCAAGTACAGCTGTGAGGCATACGAGGGTCAAATAGATTTTCTTTTGTTAAGAGAAAAAAAAAAAATCCCAGTGGCTACAAATGGGGCGATCCAAATGGAGGTGCACACGCAAGAGGCATCGGCCCGTGGGCGTCTAACACTCCTGTAGATTGGACTCTGTTCACACGCGGAAAGAGTAGCCTTGAGTAGTGGCCCTGGTGACGTGACCCTCAGATACAGTCCTTAATGCGAATATTGAAGAAAAAGACACCACGTGTGGGGGAAGCACGTCACAGAAAGTACCCGTGGAATCCGAGCGTGTGCTTTGGTGTGCGTGAGAGCCGCAGGAGAGGAGAGGATGTCCACTCTCTGCAGGGCACTGGCCCCGTCCCCCTGCGTCATCTCAGAGGTCGAGAGGGGCCTGAGGCCTAATGAATGTCAGGTCACGGAGGATCCCTGTGGCCAGCGTTGGACCAGCAGCGCCTCCTTTTCCTACTCCTGTTTCACGTGACTGCACTAGTCCAGGCGTCGGGTTGCCCAGCACCTGAGAGTCCCCAAAGTTCAAGAGGTGGGCCAGGCACTGTCACCTTCTGTGCCCTAAGGTTTGTCATAGCCCCATGTGCAGTTCTGCGCATTTCCAGCCTTCCAAAGGGAAACACAGCTGATTGTCAAAAGCAAATATCACAGAACACGCTACAAAACTGCCAGGATCTAATGTTTTATTTTGTACATATTAAATTTTAAACGCTTTTAGGAAGTATATAATCAAAATGCTTTGGGCCTGCTAGAACCAGTATCTTTGGGACGGCTCCCGCTGACAGGTAAACAAGATAAGTAGCAGTTTCCGAAACAAAGAAAGCAGTTAGTATCAAACTTCTAACGCTGGCCACCCCAAGGAGGTAGGCTACGCTCACTGCCGTGTTTCCAAAGGGAATAGTATGGGAAGGGGGGAAAGTATCTTTACTGTGGAGAACCCTGTGAAGTTTTTGCTACGGTAGCAAAAACTACCGTAGCCAGGTGATAAAAGTTACGTCGTCAGGGATAAGTCATGTTGATGGCAGGTTCCTGTGATACGAGATGATGAAAATGGCAGTTCACCTCTGTGCTCTTCTCTCAGAAACAGATCAGTCTAATCACGAGAAAAACATCAGACAAACTGAAACTGAGAGACGGTTTACAAAATACCTGACCAGTACCCCTCAAACCGTTAAGATCATCAAAAACAGGGAAAGTCCGAGAAACTGTCAGAGCCCAGAGAAACCTGAGAAGATATGACAACTAAATAGCTTGGATGGGATCCTAAACAAAAAGAGAGAGAGAGAGAGAGAGAGAGAGAGAACTAGGGAAAAACCAATGACATCCAAATAAAGCATGGACTTACATTGACAGTAATGAGCAATTTGGTTCCTTAGTTGTGAGAAATGCGCCACAGCAACGTACGATGTAGACAGTAGGAGAAGTGGGTGTTGGGATATGGAAACTCTCCAAATTGTCTTTGCAATTTCCTGTCAATCTACAACATTCTAAAGTTAAAAGCTTATTTAAATATGTGTTTAAAGAGGCTAACCTTCAGTTGTGCTCTTTCCAGACGCTGGCAACCAGTCGCTATGCAGTGATGACCACCCAGCTGAGGCACGACAATCTCTCACTAGTTTTCCACTATGTTTTTCTCCAGATATGCAGGGCCCATGGCATCGGCTATGACCTTGAGGTATGAAGGGTTACAGTTGACCAAGGCTGGACCAAATACGACCTGTGGGTGATCTAGGTAGCTAGCAATTTGGTGCCCCTGCAGACGTTCTTTAAATATTAGTTGGACATGCATTTAGGGGAAAGTGGAGTACTGCTGGGGGAAGGCAGAGAGGCAGCTCCACAGAGGGCGGAAGTTAGTCCTGGGAAGTTCAGCCAAACTTGCACACTCACCTTGGTAAAGCAAAAATCATGCAGCGTACCAGACTTAGGAGGCATTCAGGGACCATCTCTTGAACCTGAAGCATGCCCTGAGCTCCCTGACCCTACCCCAGCTGCTTGACAATGACTATCCTCTGTCTTAGTCTGCTCGGGCTGCCATAACAAAACAGTGCAGACGAGGTGCATTAAACAACAGAAATTTATTTCTCACAGTTCTGGAGGCTGGGAAGTCCAAGATCAAGGCACTGGTATGTTTGGTTCCTGGTAGGAGCCCACTTCCTGGTTTATAGTTGGCTACCTTCTTGCCTTGTTCTCACATGATAGAGACCTCTGGTGTCTTTTTTATAAGGACATTAGTTCAGCTGGTGCATGCACCTGTAGTCCCAGCTACATGGGAGTCTGAGGCAGGAAGATTACTTAAAGCCAGGAGTTTAAGACCTGCCTGGGCAACATAGCAAGACCCCATCTCTTAAAAACATAAAAATAAAGACACCAGTTCTATCAATCAGGGCACCACCTCTATAATCTCATTTAACCTTAATTACCTCTTTAAAAGCCTTATCTCCAAGGGGGGTTAGGACACAATTCAGTTCATGGCATCCTCCTACCTATGTACAGTAATTTTTTTCTGGAAGGAGTTCTGATAATAACAGCTTCCTCCATTTCTGGTCTATTTCCAATGATATCTGGGGCCTCTGCCCAGCTGTGTCATCCTAACATAGCTGGAAGGGACAAGTACAATGTAATGTCTCCTACCTAAAATAGAACCTCCACTTTGTGCCTAGAGACTCATGTTACTCCGGAGAAATAGTTTCATGTTTTTTCACTTTGATTCAGATTTTCAAATCTCTGACACTAAAGGTCTTAAAAAGGCCTTGAGTGACCCAGTGCACTCTTACTTGTGGAAGAACTGTCCCACATCACATCAAACATTAAAATATATTCATCCCCTACATTTAATATAATGTATATATAATGACGTAAGAATTCTACAGTAACCAATGGATCAAACGTTTTGATTTATAGATAGTCAATATCACATTTATTAATTTACATTTTCCATACTTGAGAACCAATATACTTTTCAGGGATCAAATATTTTTACAGACCCTTGAAAAGCAGGCAGACCATAAGCACGGGGCCGACAGTGAGTAGAATGTTCTGGCGGACACTTGGCAATCCCCGCCAAGCTGCCAGGGCCTTGTCACGATGCATAAGGCCCTTTGGTTAGATTGATTCATGCTGTTTGCAGACACATGTAATGGAGCTCACATTCCCTTGCAAATTACATTAAAGTTGATAAAATAAAGAAGAACAAAAAAGCCAGATTGAACTGATTTACCTGAAATTAATTGTTGCATCTGCTGCACATAATCCCTTTGAATTAAATAGTTTTTAGCCCCAAACTGATTAGACTGATACATTTCCACGTACCAGAAGGTGGCTAAGTCTAACTCAAGCTTTATCTGAGTCTATTTTATGTTCTTCTAAAAGATCAGAGCATTACAAGCTCTGCGAGCAGGCATATTTGGCAGGGAAAATCCCCTACCCAAGAGAAAACGTGCTCGGTCATTTTCTGTTGCCTGAAATTATTATTAGAGATTTATTTCTTAGACGCAAAGCTTTGTATTTGATCGAAGTTCTAGTATCCTTGGGAAAAGTAAAGCACCGAACCTTATTTACATCTTTCTTTCTGAGTCGATCGGTTCCATTTGTAAGAACAGATTGTAGTGGGGGAAGCAGGTGGACGGCGCAGAGGAAGGGGCTCCACGGGGGTCAGGAGCTCGCTGAAGAGAGCAGACAGGGGGCACCAAGACAGTACAGTTTCAGAGACTCGCCTCCGGGCCACCCACACTAAACAACCTGAAAAAGATGAAAGACGAAATGGAAGGAAAAGAGAAACACGAATTGGGGGCAACGGAGTGATGGGATAATACGAAGAAGAAAAAGATAACAGAAGAGAGAGGATAAAATCCAGAGACTGGAAGGATCCATTAAAAAGGAAAGAGGGGAATTGGGGGAAAAGAAGGACAAATAATAAACGGAAGTACAAGAAAAGAGAGAGAGAGAGAAGAAAAAGTGGAGTCATAAAATTCGGAGGTGAAAAGGAGTCATATAACTACTCGAAAATTTCAGAAATTATTTTGCTTTATCTTCCTGAGATGGGTTCTCATCTCTTCAGACCCTGGGGGCCATCCCTGGTCAGGACTCTCCACTCGCTCTTAACCGCCTTTCCTCGGGGGGGCCAGTGGTGAACCCGCGTTTACACAGTGCCTACTGTGCGCCGGCCGCTAAGCCGAGCGAGCGCTTTCACTTCGTTATCTCATCCACTCTTCACGTCTGTCCTGCAAGAAGGTGTCATTTCTACGATAGTACAGCAAGGACTTTGGGCTTAAAGACTTTAAGTACTTTCCCAAGATCACATAGCCAGGCATTTTGTGGAAATGACATTTGACCCATAGCTGTCCACAAAGTCAAGCATTGTTCTTTCTCTTACACCAAGGTGGCCGCTATGAGTCTTTTTCCTCTTAAGGACTATTTCCACTGTCCCTATTTCTAAAATATTATTACCAGCCCAATCCAAGGATTCTGGAATCTATTTCAAATGAAATGTTCCATCTAGGTACCTCGTACATAGTCTTCAGCTGGAGAAGCACAAACTTGTCTTCAAAGCCCCTATAACTGTCTCTACTTTACAAAGGAGAAAAAAATATGATTAACAATTAACTTCCCTAAAATTTTATTGCCTCTTTGGGTTATGCTGAGTCTAAAAAGAAGATCACATACCCAAATGCCATCGTAACCTCTGCTACCTGCTCACACTCTTGGTTGAATTTAATGTGGGCGCTCTTTGCAGAGAAAGAAAGTAACATTAATAATACATCACTGTCAGTGCTACCAAAAGAAGAATCCTCAGAAGTCCTTATACCCAACATTGTTTTCCTTCCCATTATTACCACAGATTTTCAAATGATGTTCTTGTCCAAAGTGTCAGGAAAAAAAAGGAGATGAGATCACTGTACGAGTTTATTTTTCCTTGGTGAATATCAGAAGGGAGGATTGCTGAGTTTGTAAGTGACTTGGTGGGTTTCATTCCTGGTATTTCTGTAATGCTACAGAATGCCCCCACTGATTTCCTAATGAAATGAAGTTGTAATGAAAGCCATATGGAGAAAGGCATCGTGTTTACTGCCTACAACAGTGTGGGGCGGGGCTGGTCTCACACATACCAGGCAGTGTGCCGTGGTCCTCAGTAGCTCCACAACCACCAGCAGCCATTTCCTCGGGCCAGGGTATCGCCATGGTGGGAGTCATCAGGGCTGCTCACAGATATTCTGATTCTCCTCGTTCCAGGCACATAACAGAATTACACTTCCTCAGCCCTCCCCCTAAAGTTAGGCGTGGCCAAGTAACTTGTTTTGGCCAGTGAAATATGAGCAGAAGTGAAAGATGTCCTTGCTATGCAGAAGCCTTTAGGAACCACTTCATGAGCTGCCATATGCTTTTTCATGCCTTGGAAATCATGGAAGCACATTGAGACAGAGCCTCCTTCAGCCTGGGTCCCTGAGTGTACCAACAGTGATCAGAGACCTGTGCCAACCCAGGTGGGAAATGGAGCATGCGCAAGAACTATAACTTCTGTTGTTATAGACAACCAAGAATTGGTTTTCTTAAATTACTATGGTATAACCCAGCCTACCTGGTTGATATTGAAATTAGTATCACATGTTCTGAACACAGAAACCCAAAATTTTGGTATTGACTTAGTGGTCATGCAATGAATAGCAAGGAAACTGTTCATGGAAACTAGAGAGATGACAATCCATGTTATGAAGTGGTGACATATTTAGTCAAAGTGTCACCTGCAATAACTTGGAGGGCAAATAATATAGCTAATATATCTACAGCTCTACAAGAAGCACTTGGAAAAGATAATAGTGTATGTTGGGCATGGCTACCTGCATTTGGCAAAATATATATATGAAAAATAGAAACTTTCAAATGAACCAGGCATTCTGCAAACAGAAATGAAAGGGAATAGAGAGATACTAGAAGAATAAAAAAAAATTGAAAAGGCATTTGCACAACAAAAGCCAATTAAAATTCAGCCTGACAATAAGGGTCAAAAGTACAGGTTTGACCCTAACCTGCTATTAAAACCTCTGAAAGAGTTAAGGGATCTTAGAGGAAGGATCCAACAAAGATTATGGCCTCCAGTAAATATTTTCCTTTAGGCCGGGCACGGTGGGCTCACGCCTGTAATCCTAGCTCTCTGGGAGGCCGAGGCGGGCAGATTGTTTGAGCTCAGGAGTTCGAAACCAGCCTGAGCAAGAGCGAGACCCCGTCTCTACTAAAAATAGAAAGAAATTAATCGGACAACTAAAAATATATAGAAGAAATTAGCCGGGCATGGTGGCGCATGCCTGTAGTCCCAGCTGCTCGGGAGGCTGAGGCAGGAGGATTGCTTGAGCCCAGGAGTTTGAGGCTGCTGTGAGCTAGCCTGACGCCACGGCACTCTAGCCGGGACAACGCAGTGAGACTTTGTCTCAAAAAAAAAAAAAAAAAAAGCACACAAGGTGATTCTGATGCAGGTGTTCTGAGGACTGTACTAGGAAACACCGTCCTAGAACGTACCCCACTCCATGCTCCAGAAACAGCATTTTCAAATGTGCTTCTCACGAAACGAAGGTAGCTCTAGCCTTGAATTCAAATCAGTCTCTGTGGTCTTAGTGATCTTTCTGTGCTAGTAACATTTTATTTATTTTCAAAATAATATGCTATCTCTTTTCTCCCCACCCAAATTTTACAGGACAGACAAGGAACTGTTTTTTTATTATATGAGAACCTGAAGAGAGAGAAGTTGGGAATGTTGTGAGTATGAAGTGTCTCTATGAGATGGAATAAGCTAAGAAAATAGGCTATAGCCACCACCAAAAATGGTGCTTCTTGTGCATTTTAATCAGCATGATGATTTATTGGAAGTCTATATTGTTTTATTTAGATCTTCAGGTATTTCATAAAATGGATTTAGATGTGTCCATAGAGGTTTATAAATATGACCGATTAACTATCCAAAATTGACAGATAAGAGGTTAGACTCAAACATACATGCCTGTAAGGCATGTCGAATCTGACTGATGAGGCCAGCTCAGGTGTCCAGATTATGGAAAGGCAGCTGTCATCCTCGCATGCTTAGAAAAGTGCTCTGGTGTCTTGGCAAGATGTTCCCCAAAAAGGCAGAGTCCGTAGCCCCTCCTAAGATCTAGTTTGGGCCCTGATCTTCTCAAGGTGCACGAATGCTGAGCAGCGTCCTGCCGGCAGCACTCAGGAGGCGTCTACGTACACTTCTCCCAAACTTCCTTCCAGGGTATTTTGAAGAGCTAGCAAAATTGTCTCCTCATCCAGGACTCAGAATTTTAGAGCCACAACCTTGAGTTATCTCGTATTCCATATCTTGGCGTATAGTTATTTTGTACCTTTAAGTCATCCTACCTTATTGGGAAACTGTTTCTGCCCTATATTTCCTTTCCTTGTAACAACTACAGCAGTGTAGACATTGTGGCCTCACATTGAAACACATACCACACACACACACACACACATACACACATACACACACACGCAGAGATCTGGTCTCATAAAACTAACCAAATAAGAGCCAACTCCTCTACTAAGCATTGATGTTCCTGAGCAGCCTCGGTCCCCCATTCCCCTCTTCTCCCCCACCCCCATCCCCCACGTCAGTCTCCTGGAAACTGATTCAAAGAGGTGTGCACCAAAGCAAGCAAACGGGTGTATAAGACAGGTCTCGGCTCCCCTATCCAAAACACAGTCCTTTGTTTTAGCAAAGCATTCTTAGTTATTACATAACAAACCATTATCAGTACCGTGTTATTCATCCTCATCAATCCTTTAGAACTTTTGCAAATGTTCCGGTTTCTTCCCCTTTGGAGTTAGAATGTGGCTACAGTTTAATCTAGTGCTTACAGTCTTAAATGCTTCTCGTCACCTGGGGGGAGGACAAGCTGGCTGTTTGAGTCCTCCCCTCCAGTTCCAAACCTTTCCCAAGATCCCATAAACATGCAAAACTTATTGGGTCTTGTTAAGAAAGTCCCTTCACTGGGGATTCGCCCTACCCTTTTGTCACACTGCCCTGAAGGCAACAGAAATGAGCCTGAATCCACAAGATCCCAGCAAGCGTGCATTCATCTTCTCTGCCCAGGTCCTCACGTCCAGGATGACAACACAGCCGGGGACACCTCTGAGTATGTGCAGGGAAGCTGTTGCCTTTGCTTCCCAGTGATGTTCTGTCCCTCAGCTCTCTCCCTGCCCTACCCTTACCTATCAGAAAATTCAAAAGCATTTAATCAACTGTGCCAGGCGCAGTTCTAGGTGTTGGGCAAACAGCAATGAACCAAACAGACAAGTCCCTGCCCCCATGAAGCTGACATTGAAGTCGGGTGGGCATGCAATAAACAAGCAAACAGGTAAACGTGTTCTAGCCTGTCAACTGCCGACAAGCCGGGGAAGGGGCACAGTAGTTTACAAGTAGCTGGAACACTTCCTAGTCCAATCTCTGAAAACTTGACAATATGATGCCAGGGCTTTGGTAGGACATAGGCCACCAGGCAGTTACTGGGACCAGGAGAACCAAGTAGTCAACTGGATGTGAAGTTGGCAAGCTGGGGGATAAGAAGTTTGCATTTTCCTGAGTTATGAGTCTAATTAAGCAAGAAAGGTTCAAGGTCCAAGTATATTTCTAATCTCAGGAATTCAGACAGATGGGTTAGTTAAGTACACAGAACTAGAAAGCAGAACACAGAGATATGAGCTCTGTCTTACTGGGCACCAGCCGGCGTGAGCGATTAGCTACAAAGACAACCCGGGCCAGGACTGGAACTAGACAAACCCTCACACACGTGGGATGGGGCTGGGGGCGGTGTGCTCCCTTCAGGTGGTGGGAGAAGAACAGCCACACAGACCAAATACAGGACCCAGGACCCAGGACCCAGATGCCTGGAGGTCATCCGGAGAAGCAGCCAAGTCACAGCATCAGGAAAGTTCCAACCACAAAGAGTGAAAGGACAACCTGAGAGCTGCGTAGGGGGAACTCGACCATAAGAGCTCAGAAAGGAGGCCACTTTTAGAGACCCAGGCCAGCAGAGGGGTGGCATGAAGAAAGCTAGTCAGCGGGTGACAGAACCCAGCAGAGGCTGACACTCAGGAGCAGGACTTGTGTCCCAGAATGGACGGATGAGACCTGGGTGGGACTAACAGGGCAGAGGCAGAGTTCCTGGGGTGTGGGCCACAGGGAGATTTATCCAGGTGGGAATTGGGGCATAGAGGAGCCAGGCAAGAGGAAAACCATTGCAGAATTTAGGAGCTAGCAGAAGAGACTGTTTCATGAACAAAGAAACCCCCGATCATCAAACTGACCTAGCAGCACGGTGGATTTGATGCTGAAGCCCGCAGAATGAATTATTAGACTGGTAACCAAGAGGAACTCGCCCAGCTGTCCCTACACTTGCACCTGAGATTTCAGGCAAGGATGGCTTGACCTGCAGGCTAGCTTCAGCGGTAGAAACAGTCCTATTGGCATACCTTCTAGATGGTTATCGCTACTCCCATGTCCTACAGACAGGGCACTGTTGACAGGGACGCCCTGAAAGATTCCTGTGCCTCCTCCACTGCTTTCTGCCCCACCTTATTCTCATGCCTTACTGAGGTCACAGAGCCAGAGAATGTTAGAGCAGGGAACGACCTGGGGGACTGAAGGATCTTCATATTATGATGGGAAACTGAGGCTTAGAGAAGGTGTGATTTGCCCGAATCCCACAGGAGGTTGCCTGTGTCCTGGTCCTGAATCTAGTGTTGTTTTCACTACGCCACAAAGTCTACACTGAGTGATCACCTTGTATAGGTAGTCCTACTATGTAATGCAGAGATTCTCAGACTTGTGCAAGTTTGTACAGATTTTGCTAATTTGCTTTTTCTGAATATTAGATAGGATTCAAGGTTATCCCTAGAATTCTCACTTACATATCGCTGTGTTTTCTTTTTTTTTTTTTTTGAGACAAAGTCTCACTGTGTTGCCCGGGCTAGAGTGCCGTGGCGTCAGCCTAGCTCACAGCAACCTCAAACTCCTGGGCTCAAGCAATCCTTCTGCCTCAGCCTCCAGAGTAGCTGGGACTACAGGCATGTGCCACCGTGCCTGGCTAATTTTTTTTCTATATATTTTTAGTTGTCCAATTAATTTCTTTCTATTTTTAGTAGAGACGGGGTCTCGCTCTTGCTCAGGCTGGTTTCGAACTCCTGAGCTCAAACAATCCGCCCGCCTTGGCCTCCCAGAGAGCTAGGATTACAGGCGTGAGCCACCGCGCCCGGCCTCGCTATGCTTTCTTAAGCATGAGATAAAAGGCTGGAATCGCAACTACTGTATTAGGAATTGCACTAAGGTGTAAACACAGGAGGTTGAGAAAAGATGATTTAATAGAAATGGCCAAGACAGTCCTGTTTCCTAGAACTCAAGTTGAAAAAGAAAAGATGAGCAAATAAAAACTTTTTGTGTGTGTGTTGTTTAATTTTCCCTGTAGCTTTACGGGGAGGCCCTTCCTGTGATGGTGGCTTTGTTGGGCTTCAGTGCAATCAGGTCATGCCAGGTGACTGTCAAAAAGGAGAAGGGGCTCACACGGAAGATGGCTTTTCAGACCAGAGATTGTGGTTTGGCTTTTCTGGGATAACTTCATACCAACTCCATTTATTCTGGGATATTTCTGGAAAATAGTGGAATTCAAGGAGAAATTTCAAGAAAGAGAAAACGAAGGAAATTCCAGAAATGAATTAATTAATAGGGAACAGGGACTTGGAGTCCATCCAGCCTCTTAGTTCCCAACCCAGAGAAAGTGGACATCAGGAGGCTGAGGAGAGATCACGGGAGGGGCATGAATCCATTTGTGAACACGGCATTGTACACGCACGTGCACACACAGACACGCGGGACACAGCTATAATTTTAAGTATGAACCTCAACTTTTAGTATATATAAGAATCACCTGGGAGCTTGGGAAGCTGTATGTTCCTGGACCCCAAACTCAAAGATTCTGGTTTTGTCAATCTGGGATAGAGCCCAGGAATCTCCTGTTTTAAGAAGCATTGAGGGTCTAATACATACGGATCCTACGGCAGTAAAATACAAATCACTTTTTTAAGTTACTGACTCTGAAGTTGCCTTTGGCTACTCTTTATTTTCTTAAAAGAGATACTAACGTTCAGCAGCTGTAAGAGGCGGGCTGTCCTTGGATTCGGGGAATGCAACTCGAAAGGTTAGAAGCACTGATGCAGTCCAATTCCTTCATTTCAGAGAAAAGGAATTGAAGACCCTGAGAGCTTAATTAAGTAACTTCCCCAAAGCCATACAGTCAGTGGCAGGACAGCAAGCCGTGGTCCCCTGCCGTAGGGACCGGGAAGCTTTGGGCTCCCACCCTGACCCAGGGGAAGGTCTGATGAGGCTGGAAGGCGCCATCTCAAAGGGGTCTGAGCCCTAGACTGTAAGGCGACTTAGTTTACAGGTAAATGAGAAAGAAGTAATCCCACCACCTCAGGGCAGAACACTTTTAAAATATTAATCCAGTCATTTAACCTATTTTTCCTTCAATAAAGAACATTCGAAAAATAGCTAGAAAAATACCCTAGAGTTTTGTTTCCAGATTAAAACATACAACGACCTAGTCGTCTGGGAGTGTTCACTGACCACAGTATAATGCTACACGGTGGTCTGCAAGTTGTCTCTGAAATCTTCTTAGAGTGAGCATTCGGCTTTATAAAGACAGCTGTTCATGAACGGGGCACATTCTCCGCTGAACGTGGGCAGAGCACCCTCAGGAGGAGCAGGAATCATTTGCACACCTGAAAGAGATAACAAACCCCAGACAAAATCTCCAGAATCCCGAGTCGCGAACATCTCTGTAGACAAGGCAATTGTTAGGCATGAATCACACTTAGTAACAATTGTCTTAAACTGACTTAAACAATTTTTAAAATGAGCTCATACAATGTCCTAGCTCAGTGGTAGCCTTTCCTGGAAATGACTGACCCTATTGCTGTATTCTGCTAAGTTGATTAATAAAAAATATTTATTACGCAAATCCTTTTTGTTGACAAGTTAAAATGGAGCCTCATCTTTCATATCTCCCTGAAGATTGCCACCTTGTGAGATTGAAAATACTCATTAAATTCCATCACCAGACAGGCACAAATGAGAGGGCGATTGTTTTTAAGCATGTGAGGGGAATCGTTGGTAAACTCATTTGTTTGGATATCATTAACAGAACAATCGGCGAGGATCTCCAGGGGGTCCTCATGACCTTTGCTCGCAATCTCTTCATCATCCATCAAGAAATATCAGCACCTAATATGCAAGGCGAGACCAATTTTAAGGTGAGGTGTTAATTAACTAACGATCCTGGTTAATTTCTATACAACGGCTGAAAATACCTCATGCTGTATTGTAAACAAGTGCTAAACCATCTTTTTTTTATTGTAAGCAGTACATATTTTACAATGTGCAGGGTCAATATTGTAAGGTTCCCACTGAAGCCGTTAGTTAAATTTAATAGCTTGAAACTTCTTCTTTGAAATATAGTAGACTTGCTTTTAGCTTGCTGCCATTTTCAGACACAAGCTCATAAGGGAGAAGAGCTTCCTGATGTTGGAGGAGAAGCTAAAACATCACAGTGGAACCAAAACAGAGATTGTCACAACCATAAATTATGAATGTAATCTGTCCATATTTCAGATAATACAATGTCTGGCTAGTGATTCCTGGGGAGCCCTAATTTCTAGAGCTGGAGAAGTTCTAAGACCCAAGAAGGCAATGTGTGTTAGGGAGAGGAAAAAAAAAACCCAGCACATATGTGGGCCATCTACCCCACCCCATTTCTCCAAAGTGGGGTGGATGTTTCACCACCAACCTTCTGAAGCCTCCATATGACCTGTAAACATGTTAGTACATAAAATTCAGCTGTATGTAATTGACTAGAAGAATCCAAACTCTAAAATACAGGAGCAAGATCTGGGGGGTGGGGTTTGGGGGTTGAAACACCAGCTAAACAGAGATGACCACGTGATATTGATCAGGCAAGTCTGAATCTGATTTCCAACCTAGGCCTTCATCATGTTTGAAAGAACTCCATTGGAAACCCCATGTAGTTTCTCTCTTAAATGGAAAGTTCAACAAAAGCTTGATAAAAATATAATTTTTAGGCTAGGCATAGTAGCTCATACCTGTAATCCCAGCACTTTGGGAGGCTGAGGCAGGAAGATCCCTTGAGTCCAAGAGTTTGAGACTAGGCTGGGCAACATAGCAAGACCTTGTCTCTACAAAATACAAAAAAATTATCCAGGCGTGGTGGTGCTCTCCTGTAGCCCCAGCTACTGGGGAGACTGAGGTGGGAGGAACACTGGAGCCCAGGAATTCAAGGCTGTAGTGAGCTATGATCATGCCACTACACTCCAGCCTGGGTGACAGAATGAGGCTCTGTCTCTTAAAAAATAATAATAATAA